AGACACTTACGTCACGGCGCCGCGCCGGGCCCGCCCCTCTGGGGTGTTAGTGAGCGCCGCGCGACGCGGCGCTCGCGGATGACGTTGCGCCGCAGGAAGGCCGGGCGAGGAGTTCGCGGTGACCGTGAGTGTGGCTCCAGGCACTCCCTTTCCCGCCCGGCGGGTGCAGCCGCGCCGCGGGTCCTCGGAGCCACTCCGGAGCTCAGTGAGGGTGGTACGTTGGTGTCGCGTCGTGCGGGCGGGGACAGACTCCCCGAGGAAGGGTCCGGGACCCGCTGCCGGCATCCACTCAGGAAGTTTACAGCATTTCTCTTCTATCGGGTCACCTCCTAAGGGTGAGGGAGGCCTCCAGGTGCCCTCCCCTGACAGGGGACACCGAAGCAAACCCGGTGCATCTCGGCTGGGAGGGCTTGTTTCCTGGGGCCTGCATGTTGAGACATCAAACATTTAGTTTTGAATCTCCCGGCTTGTCGCCGCGGAAACCTCAGCCCTGACGCTTCCCAGGGGTCCAGGCTTAGTAAGAGTGGCTCTAAACCTCGGCTCCCTTTTTGTACTCCTTACCTCGCTGGATTTTGTGAGAATCACATGACTTTGGAAAACAAGGTGTGAGCTAACCTCCTTTTACGTTGCAGTCCATCCTCAGAGCAGCTTTCTGACTCCCTCACCCACCCGAATGGGCCCGGGCTCGGGCTCGGGCCCGGGCCCTGCCCCTGCCCTACTGAGTCAGGATCTTTGGGAGTATAACCTGGGCCTCTGGTGTTCACAAACCTTCCACAGGTGGTTCTAATGCCAGGTCAGGGCTGAGAGTTGGATAGGTTATGGAGGGACTGGCAAGTGACCCAGTGATAACATACTTGTTCAGAGACATGTTTGGGTCTGTGGCTTTCTTCCTGCATGCGATTTGGCGAGGATCAATTAAATGGAAAAGCCTGCCTGTTAAAAAGATTTCCTTGCCCAGCAGGTCACACGCCCAGCCAGTGACTTGACCTTTGGGCCTTTTCATGCCACAGGGCCCTCAGGAGGAATGGCAGCCGTGGGCAACTTGTTTGGGTAAGCAAAAACTTCCAGGCCCCTTGGGAATGCCATCATGCAGCCACCCAAAGGAACACCAACTTAGGAGCCTCAGAAAAGCTTCTCCAGCCAGTGTATTTACCTAGACAATACACATAAGTACACGTGTACGGACGCCTTGACAGGCTGTCGAGGGAAGAATGGAAACAACTTGTAAACGAGCATCAGACAGTGGTGGCAGTCACCTTCCTATTCAGAGCCTGCAGCCCAGCTCTTGAGTCCCTGGGGAAAGTCACAGCCTTCCTGCCGTGACTTCCCACCAGGACTGCCTCCTCATCTGCCTGTTCCCCTTGCCCCCTGGCCTTCCCCAAATGGGAAACACAGTGTAGTCAGTGTTGCTAGAGGAAATGAGAGCAGGTTTCCTGTTGTTTCTATGGAACCTGGGAGGAGGAATGCGGCACTCAGTCTGAGTCAGTGTGAAAATAAGGAAGAGACTCTGGCTGCAGCATTCACTGGAGAGCCCTTGTCCTGGGAAAGGTTCACGTGGGAACTGCTGTTCTAGTTGGGGAACACCCACCATCTCCTTTCTCCTGTCTTGCACTTCTGAAGGCAGTGACTTGGGTTCCTTTGGTCAAAATTTACCAGGTGTTCAGCTAGGGGCTCTGGGACTTAACAGTAAATAGATGCAGTTTTTATCCCCAGGCCATCAGCCCTGGATGTCCACTGGGAAGTACAGGGTGTGGGTCAATCCAAGTTTGCATGAAAGGTGGTTGGAGATTACTTTAGGGGTCACAGGGCAAGGCCCCAAGTAGGTGAGAGACAGGTGGGGGGCAGGGCCTCGCCCTTTCCTTCACCTTAGAGCATGTGCTCTGTCGAGTGCAAATCTGAGTGTCCACCATGTTCAGAAGGTGAGTGGCTTCCAGTGGTCTTGGTGTGCTCAGGCTGTCCCAGTAATACCATAGACCAGACAGCTTCTCTCCCACAGATCTGGAGCTCTCTTCCTGATTCACAGACAACTGCCTTCTTCTTGTGTCCTCACAGGGCAGAGAGAGCTAGTTCCTGTCTCTTCTTCTAAGGGCACCCATCCTACCTTGGGGGCCCCACTCTCATGACCTCATCTAACCCTAATCACCTCCCAAAGGCTCTGCTCCTGATGCCATCTTATTGGGCATTAGGGCTTCAACATGTGATTTTGGGACACAAACATTCAGTCCACAGCACCAGGTCTGCATTCCCCTGAAAGGCAGCTTCCTGCTTCATGCTCATGTCCAGGGCTCCAGACATCTAGAGATTGTTGTCCTAACCCTTCTGTCCTTTTGTCTGGAAGCACATGTACTTACCCACTATGGCCTCTCCCCATACCTGAGGTAAGGGCTGCTCTGCCCACGTCCCACACCTTGGGGATACTGTGCACCGGTAGGAGCTGGTTGGCCTGGGCTGCATGGGCACGCTGTTCCAAGCACCTGCCGCTGACCAGTGTGTGTGTGTGTGCGTGTGTGTCTGCAGCCTTCTACGGCAGCGTGTGGTGACAAGGGCAGCCCCCGTGGGCTGCCACCTACACATGTCCTCCTGGTGGGCTGACAGCAGCAGAGCCTTGCTCACACGTGTGCACAGACAGGCCTACGCACGCCTCTACCCTGTGCTCCTGGTCAAGAAGGATGGCTCCACCATCCACATCCGCTACCGGGAGCCCAGACGGATGCTGGAGGTAAGCTTCCCTCTCTGGGGTGCAGGTTCCCCAGAATTGTTCATAGGCTCAGAATTGTGGCTGGATGAGAGAGGAGGGTGGGCAAGTCATGGAGCTGACTCCATGCACTAAGGTCCAACAGCAGCAGCAGGCCATGTGTAAAAAATACACATCCTGGGCAAACAAGCAGAAGAGGTTTCTTTAAAGAGTAGAAGTTTGAGCTAGAGGAGCAGAGGTCTGGAGAAGGTCCTGGTCCCTTCCACTGAGTGAGTACGCACCCTCCCTCCACAGATGCCGGTGGACCTGGATGTCTTGTCCCCAGAGGAGAGGCGGGCGCGGCTCCGCAAACGTGAGGCCCAGTTCCGAGACAAGAAGGAGGAGCCAGAGCTTGGTGATGACTTTGACATGGAGCGGTACAAGCAGTTTTGGGCCAAGAAGTGACTGTCCCCAAACTGCCCTGACCTCAGACGTTGGGGGGAGGGGCATTTGTTTTTAAATCAAGCATCAGGATTTTAAATCCATCTTGTCTTTCCTGCTCATGTACTGGCCAGAGCGGGGTCTCTGGCTGAGCCCCCCGGAGGGCTTAGGGTTGGGTCACATGGTTTTAGGAGGTTCAAAGGGCACATGGACTGTGGACATGACTGATGTTGTAGGTGCTCCTCCCACTGCAGGAAGTGCCTGCCATCACCCAGCTACCCGTCTGGGCCTTGGAGCCCCCTCTGCCAGTGCCTCTGTACCAGGAGCTCTCACATTAGTGTGGGGAGTGGTTGGGTCCGAAGACATCTGTGCTGGACCTGTAGCCCACCTGTCCTTTGCCTCACAGGGGCTCCTTTAGCTTGCTTGCTTGCAGTGGGAAAGTGCTCCCTGTCAGAGGAGCCAAGGGAGTGGCCAGTTGCTGACTCCTCTTGGGTCTTAGTGACGAGGCTGGCTTTCCCCAGTGAGCTGCCACCTTCTGCTCTAGAAGTGGGTTTCATGCTGGCTAGGCTTCCTGCAGGACCTGAGGGGGCAATTCCCAACCTGTCCATGTGCAGCTGACCCAGCTCGGCACCTCATCCTGTCTTGGGGGGTTGATCATGTAACCTTGGCTGTCAGGTTCTTTCTCATAAACCTTGAGGGTCCATGCATGGTTCAGTGCTGCCATAGTGATGGTGGGGAGGTATTCTAGGCATGAGTGAGGAGGCAGAAGCATGTGGGAAGTGACCTTGCCACTGTTGGCAGCTCACAGAGAAGGATGCTGGGCTGAGCATCGACCCTGGAATCCTAGCTTGCAGTCCACTCCCCACTGGTCCACTGAGCAAGCCAGCCCCAGCCAGCCATATGCAGCTCCTGGGAAGTCTGCCCCACAGGCTCTGCCAGCCCTCTGGCCTCCTTGGAGCCCTTACCCCTCCATCTGCTCCGTGCTCCCTCCAGAGAGATGCCCACAGCAGTGTCTGCACTTGCTATTCAGGGCCAAGTTATTCATGACAGTGGAAGATGGCAAGGCAGACCTTAGAGGAGGGTAGAGGTGGTGGGTGCAGTGCAGGGAAGAGGCTGAGTACTGCACACACAAGTGGGGATATGTGCCAGGAACAAGGCAAGGTCAGTGATGGGAAGCTACTAAAAGGACTCACCCCGGTGGGAGTTCTGGCAAAACCCACCTAATGGTATTGTTGAAGGCAGGTGGGCAATCAGACTGTCATCCCCCATGGAAGTCTGATTAGATGTGGAGGGGCACACCTGTGTCTTTGGATCTGCTGTCTGACGCTGGAGGCCCCTGAGCAGGTGCAGGGGCAGCTCTGGAGCTCCCATGTGAGGAAACTGAGGGTCAAAGTAGTATTCTAAGACAGGGCCGAGGCTCATACCGTTATGTTTATTCCTACTGTGGGAATCCCCAACCCCCCCGCCCCCAAACAAGAGAGGGTGTCAGCGGAGGCGGGTCAGGAGGCCTCTCCATTGCCTTCCCCACTGAGTACCGGCAGGCCACGTAAGCAGGGTACGCGCTAGGGCAGCATCCTGTAAAATAACTCGTACAAAGGACAACGCAGGGGATGCCGTTTTAAGTCCCAGGTCTGCAGCCACCCTATGGAGTAGGCCCTGAACTCATTAGATAATTGTCACCGACTCGGTCTGTGACCCACGGTGGTGACAGGCGGGACGCACTTGTTCGACGACCAGCCCGCTGAACCATCAGCAGTTTAGTGTGACACGTGTCCTTGTGGAGTCTCCGCCGGCGCCTGGGCGCTCGTTCTTACCGGCGTTGCGGACCAAGCACTGTGCAGCGCGCATCCACGCCCTGTGACCACAGCAGGGTCCCCACACGGTGTCCGATTCCTGGTTCTCACAGCCACGGATGTTGTAGTGGGAACCTCGGTGCGGATAGAGACTCGTCTCCTCAACTGTTCTCCGGCACTCGGTGCACACCGCGGACGGTGACTTTCGGGCGCTGTCCCTGGATCCTGGTGTCATTACAGAATGACTCCCGATAACAGCTGTGTCAGCGGGGCGCTCGGCTTCAGCTTCGGCTGTTTGCCCGCGCCGTCCCGGAGCCGGGCGGGCAGGGGGGCGGTGCGCAGGCGCGTTCGGCAACACGCGAGTTGGCGCGGGCATGACGTTACGGCGCGCGACGCAGGCGCGGAAGCGGGAGCCGCCGGGTAAGAAGCTGGGGAATCTGGAGGCTCGCGGGTACCGGGCGGTTCCGCACCATGTTCGGCTCCAGCCGGGGCGGCGTGCGCGGGGGACAGGACCAGTTCAGCTGGGAGGATGTGAAGACTGACAAGCAAAGGGAGAACTACCTGGGTGAGCGCGGGGTCGGGGGTGCGGGAAGCGGGGGTGTGGGTGCGTGGGGCGCGGGAGCTAAGTCTCGGGGATGCGGAGGACGCGCCGACCAGCGGGCCTAGAACTGACCTCTGTCCCCGCAGGTAACTCGTTGATGGCCCCGGTGGGCCGCTGGCAGAAGGGCCGCGACCTCACCTGGTATGCCAAGGGCCGGGCAGACGGCGCGGGGCTGAGCCGGGAGCAGGAGCTGGCGGCGGTGAGGCAGGCGGAGCAGGAGGCGCTTATGGCGGCGCTGTGAGTGCAAAGGGGACGGGGGCCCTGTGGGAGGCGGGGACACAGCGGGGATGGCAGGAGTGGGGCCAGGGCGAGGCCCGCCGCCCTTGACACTCGCGCGCGCCTCCGCAGAGGCTACAAGAACGTGAAGAAGCAGCCCACCGGCCTGAGCAAGGAGGTGAGGGAGGGGCAGCTCCCTGGGGGCGGGCGTGGAAGAGGGCTGACCCCGCACCGCCGCGAGTGTTTGCCCGTCCTCCCTCCCACAGGATTTTGTGGAAGTCTGCAAGCGGGAAGGAGGTGACCCCGAGGAGAAGGGAGTGGACCGGCTCTTAGGCCTCGGGAGCTCCAGGTGCGGGGCGGGGGTCCTCCCGAGGCGGGGTCTCCGAAAACGCCAGCGTGCAGCTTTTAGGGACTCAGCCCTGTCAGCTGCCCAGGTGGAAATCAGTTACCTGTAAGGGAGGCCTGGGGCGGGCAGGGGGTTGTTTCACTGTGGGGGGTGTCTCACCCCTGTCCCCGCAGTGGCTCCGCAGGCCGAGTGGTATTGTCCAGAGAAGACAAGGAGGCGGCTAAGCTGGGGCTCTCGGTGTTCACGGTAATCGCCCCGAAATGTCTCAGGATCTCACGGCGAGATCTGGGTTTCTCTTTCTATTGAGGCCGGGCAGTCTCCCTTGTCTCCCCTGGGGACCCTTCCAGCTTCTTGGCCTGGGAAATGGGGGCTGGTTCTCCCCATCAACACGTCAGGGCACCCTGTATACCCCCAAGAGTGGCTCTTTTGGCAGCACCACCGCGTGGAGAGCAGTCGCTCAGGAGCCTCCCCTACTCGGAAGAAGCCTCGGCCTGAGGAGAAGGCAGAGCCGGGGTAAGGGCCCCGGAACCCAAGACTCGGGGTTCTCTGCAAGCTGGCTGTCTCTCGGGTCAGCGCCATTCCCAGTTTCAGACCCCTTTTCCTTCTGTGGAGGCCTTTCGAGGTTTTGAGGACAGGGCAGTCACAGTCCCAGGACTGCCCGCTGGTGCCCAGCGAGGTTAGACAGCCTCATGGTGTCACCTACCAGGAGCAGGGGCCACCTGCATGAGCCCTCCCCGAGAGCAGTGTGCAGTGCAGTACCCACTCTGGAGGCCCTGTGGTTGTGGGGTGCAGGAGGGCATGCCATCTGGTGGGAGGGTGTTGGCAGGGGCCATGAGAAGGTCCCATGAATTTTCTGACTGGATGGGAAGGCTATTGGTGCTGCCCACCATGCTAGCCACTGGTCATGTGTGATACTGAGGAACTTCACGCAACGACCTGAGATTGAAATAGGGCCCTGCTAGGCCTAGGGAGCTGTAGGGCAGCAAGCCGGCAATGTATCTGGTTAAGGCCAGTAGCTACTGGTGGCTTGTATGAACCTGTGGGCCCCACCTCCTGTGAGACTCCCATAGTCCAGCAGCTTCTGGCATTCTGTACCCCCTTCACAGCCCTGAGAGCCACAAGAAGAGTAGGAAAGAGAAGAAAAAGAAGAAGAAGCACAAGAAAGAAAAGAGAGAAAAGGAGCACAGGATGGGGTCATCAACCTCTTCAGTGTCCCCAGCTCATACCCGGTAGGTACAGCAGTAGGTATAGTGGCAGCTCTGGGGTGGGAGATTGGGCCAGGTGGTGGGCAGCCCCTCACACCAAGCATCCCCTGGTCTCCATAGGGCCCACTACTGCAGGCACGACTCTGACTCTGCCTCACCCTGCTGCAAGAGGAGGCGAGGGCACAACAGTGACTAAGGCCCAGCCCACTGGGACTCTGCCCACTTCATCCAGACCCTACCCTCAGTGAAGCTTTTGAGCAAGTGCCCTGCTAGGCCTAGGGAGCTGTAGGGCAGCAAGCCAGCAAGGTATCTGGTTAAGGCCTTACCCCCAGATGGCTCCAGGCCCACCAGGGAAGGCCACACTTGCCCAGATCCAGCTGCCCTAGGCCCCAAGAGGCTTAGCTGTGATCAAGTATTGCTACTTGTATTGACTCACTCTTTGTACTTAAGTAAACTTATTTTAACTGGAAAGCATCTCATATTAAAGAGATTGTCATGTGCTTCAATTGTAAGTGATGTGTGAAAATGTGGTTCCAGCAAGATCATCTAAGACCCCACTGGGAAGGAGACTGTCTTGGCAGCCAGTAGGGAGGGCAGAGAGGAACCAGAAGTGCTGGGCTTCATATGGGCCCATCCTAGGTGGGCAAGTGCAGGGAGAGAGGCAGCCAGACTGGGTGTTTATAGTTGGTGGGTGAGGACAGACTTGTATTGGGAAACACCCTTATTCCCTAAGGACTTCTTGCCTGACTCTCATGCTTCCCTATTTGCCTGCTGAATCTGTTCTGCTCTTCGCACGTGGGATGGAAGTGTGCCATTCACCCCTCTTTCCACAGAATAAATGAAAACTTAAACCCAGGCTGGATCATTATAAAATTTTGCTGATTTTAAAGAAATGAAACTAAAAATGTTTTTCTTCAGAGCCCCAGCCCTGGTTCTCAATCTGTTAAGACTTATCTCAGGCCAGGCAGGGCACATAGGGCTGGATGCCTTGAGGGGGAAGGACACCAGGACCTTGTGGGGGGCAGGGGTGCCCAGAAGGGCCAGGTCAGAGGGATGGCCTCCAAGAAGCAGGTAGGGGTCCCACAGCACACAAATGGGCATGGGTGTGTACAACAGCAGAGGCTTCCGAAGCAGCAACAAACTGGAGGGAGGGGTTCCCATCTCTCCCCAGGAACCTCCACAAACAACTCTAGGCCTTGGTGTTTCGGGCACAACCTACATGAGGACCCTGCTGGTCCTCAAAGCCTGGCACTGCCAAGACTGGACCAGGACTAGGGGCTGGACTACCAGCAGGAAGAGACCAAGGAGGGCCCCTAAGGGCAGTGGGACCCTCAACTGCCACAGTGAGGGCAAAGGGGAGGACTGGCCCAGGGAAGAGGGAAGGGTCAGAGAAGGAATGCAGTGGGTCAGGGGCTGGCAGTACTACTTAAGCTGTCCCAGCCCACATCCCAGGAGGCAGCTGTTGGTCAGTGGTACCCAAGCACTGGAAAACCATGAAATAGTTAAGAGATTTTATTCTAATAGCTATAATTACAGTGCTTGTTGTCGAAATGAAAACTGAAAACAAGTATACAAAACAGTTGATTACTAATCGTGTATTGAAAGCAGTAAGAGGTTCCACGACACCAGATAAACCAGTTCTGAGGTTTTCCCCAAGATAAAGTTTAACAGCTCCAGCTTCTTCAGTGTTTATCAAAATACAAAAGAAAAAAGTAGAAGTTGTCGTTTTTGATGGCAAATCTGACCCTTGCAGGCTGAGGGAGTGAAAGCACATGTGGGGGGGAGGGGGTTCCGAGGGGCTGGATTCCAGATGACCGGTCACCCACCCACCCGGCTCCTGCTGGTGAGAACCAGACAACCTGGAGCGAGCGAGCATGTGTGGGGACCATGGGGCTCCCACTCTGGCCAGAGCAGTCCCACCAAAGCACCCACGCTGACCCAAGGTAAGGAAGGCTGGGGTCCCTCTGTGGGGTCTGAGTGGTGGCCGCAGCCCAGCCCATCCCTGGGTGGTGGTGTAAGCACAGGTACAAGCACAAACGCTATGGGATGCGGGATGACCCAGCGACAACAGAGCCAATCACAGGGACCGTATGTGACCATGCAGAACTTATCATGGCTGGTTCTGCCCGCTGCACACTTCAGATGGGAGACAGACCATGGGTGGACTAGACTCAGGCCGTTACTGCAGAACCTGCACTAGGCACATTTCTCCCTTCTGTATGTTCAAGTGTGTCCTTATCTTGTATTTGTAACTATTTTAAAAAATGCACTGAGTTTGGATTAAAAACCAACCACCAAAATGGATCTCAACACAGATCTAAAGCTCCGAGAAGGAGCGTTGGGCTGGTCTGACAGCGACTCCTGGAGGCCCTGGGTGCCTAAAATCCCTTCTCAGTACTAAACAGTGGGTTGATTCTTTTTTACAATAAAAAAAGCTGAGTAATATTGCATAGGAGTACCAAAACTGCCTCCATTGGAAACAAGAACTATTTACATTAAATAAAAACCCGGTTGCAGGCTGCATCTGCACATGTACAGCATGGTGAAGCACACTGGGACCGACCATGGAGACAGCTTCTGGCACTCACACCACAGGGGCACGTCTGCCACATGAGAGGAAAGCGAGGGCGGAAGAGGGAGTGAGGGGGGAGAGAGGAGCGTGGCTCACTTCTGGTTCCGGAGCTGATTGGACAGCCAGTCCAGTCCCTCATAGAGCCCATCGCCACTGGTGGCACAGGTGGCCTGAATGTACCAGTTCCTGTGGCGCAGAGAGTGCAGGCCCAGCTTGTCCGTGATCTCGGCAGCATTCATGGCATTGGGGAGGTCCTGGTGAGAGGGGCGGGGCGGCATGGCAACCATGGATCAGGGGAAGACTCAGACTCCTCCCCACCCCACTTGTGTCCCCCACAGACCTCCAGCCCCTTGGGGTAGCTCGGCCACCCATAAGCACGTACCTGCTTGTTTGCAAACACGAGCAGGACAGCATCCCTGAGCTCGTCCTCTGCCAACATCCGCATGAGCTCTGTGTGTACAACAGCAGAGGCTTCCGAAGCAGCAACATGCTGGAGGGAGGGGTTCCCATCTCTCCCCAGGAACCTCCACAAACAACTCTAGGCCTTGGTGTTTCGGGCACAACCTACATGAGGACCCTGCTGGTCCTCAAAGCCTGGCACTGCCAAGACTGGACCAGGACTAGGGGCTGGACTACCAGCAGGAAGAGACCAAGGAGGGCCCCTAAGGGCAGTGGGACCCTCAACTGCCACAGTGAGGGCAAAGGGGAGGACTGGCCCAGGGAAGAGGGAAGGGTCAGAGAAGGAATGCAGTGGGTCAGGGGCTGGCAGTACTACTTAAGCTGTCCCAGCCCACATCCCAGGAGGCAGCTGTTGGTCAGTGGTACCCAAGCACTGGAAAACCATGAAATAGTTAAGAGATTTTATTCTAATAGCTATAATTACAGTGCTTGTTGTCGAAATGAAAACTGAAAACAAGTATACAAAACAGTTGATTACTAATCGTGTATTGAAAGCAGTAAGAGGTTCCACGACACCAGATAAACCAGTTCTGAGGTTTTCCCCAAGATAAAGTTTAACAGCTCCAGCTTCTTCAGTGTTTATCAAAATACAAAAGAAAAAAGTAGAAGTTGTCGTTTTTGATGGCAAATCTGACCCTTGCAGGCTGAGGGAGTGAAAGCACATGTGGGGGGGAGGGGGTTCCGAGGGGCTGGATTCCAGATGACCGGTCACCCACCCACCCGGCTCCTGCTGGTGAGAACCAGACAACCTGGAGCGAGCGAGCATGTGTGGGGACCATGGGGCTCCCACTCTGGCCAGAGCAGTCCCACCAAAGCACCCACGCTGACCCAAGGTAAGGAAGGCTGGGGTCCCTCTGTGGGGTCTGAGTGGTGGCCGCAGCCCAGCCCATCCCTGGGTGGTGGTGTAAGCACAGGTACAAGCACAAACGCTATGGGATGCGGGATGACCCAGCGACAACAGAGCCAATCACAGGGACCGTATGTGACCATGCAGAACTTATCATGGCTGGTTCTGCCCGCTGCACACTTCAGATGGGAGACAGACCATGGGTGGACTAGACTCAGGCCGTTACTGCAGAACCTGCACTAGGCACATTTCTCCCTTCTGTATGTTCAAGTGTGTCCTTATCTTGTATTTGTAACTATTTTAAAAAATGCACTGAGTTTGGATTAAAAACCAACCACCAAAATGGATCTCAACACAGATCTAAAGCTCCGAGAAGGAGCGTTGGGCTGGTCTGACAGCGACTCCTGGAGGCCCTGGGTGCCTAAAATCCCTTCTCAGTACTAAACAGTGGGTTGATTCTTTTTTACAATAAAAAAAGCTGAGTAATATTGCATAGGAGTACCAGAAACTGCCTCATTGGAAACAAGAACTATTTACATTAAATAAAAACCCGGTTGCAGGCTGCATCTGCACATGTACAGCATGGTGAAGCACACTGGGACCGACCATGGAGACAGCTTCTGGCACTCACACCACAGGGGCACGTCTGCCACATGAGAGGAAAGCGAGGGCGGAAGAGGGAGTGAGGGGGGAGAGAGGAGCGTGGCTCACTTCTGGTTCCGGAGCTGATTGGACAGCCAGTCCAGTCCCTCATAGAGCCCATCGCCACTGGTGGCACAGGTGGCCTGAATGTACCAGTTCCTGTGGCGCAGAGAGTGCAGGCCCAGCTTGTCCGTGATCTCGGCAGCATTCATGGCATTGGGGAGGTCCTGGTGAGAGGGGCGGGGCGGCATGGCAACCATGGATCAGGGGAAGACTCAGACTCCTCCCCACCCCACTTGTGTCCCCCACAGACCTCCAGCCCCTTGGGGTAGCTCGGCCACCCATAAGCACGTACCTGCTTGTTTGCAAACACGAGCAGGACAGCATCCCTGAGCTCGTCCTCTGCCAACATCCGCATGAGCTCTTCACGGGCCTCGTTTACACGTTCTCGGTCATTGCTGTCAACCACAAAGATGAGACCTGCCAAAGAGCAGGAGTCAGCACAGGTGCCAAGGAGACCCCACCTCTCCCACAGGCCATGGGCCCCTGCCCTCACCTTGTGTGTTCTGGAAGTAGTGGCGCCACAGAGGTCGGATCTTGTCCTGGCCGCCCACATCCCACACAGTGAAGCTGATGTTCTTGTATTCCACTGTCTCTACATTGAAGCCTGTAAGAGCATGGCCCCGCATGAGCACTGCCCTGAGAGAGCCTGCCCCCGAGCTGCCCCCTCTGCCCCCAGCAGCCTGGCCTCCTCACCTATGGTGGGGATGGTGGTCACGATCTCACCCAGCTTTAGTTTGTACAGGATGGTGGTCTTCCCTGCAGCGTCCAGGCCTACCATGAGAATGCGCATTTCTTTTTTGCCAAAAAGGCCCTTGAAGAGGTTCGCAAAGATATTCCCCATTCTGTAGACCGGAGGGAGTGACACTGGCCAGAAAAACCTGCAGAGACAAGGGGTCCCCAGGTCTCTTTCTGTGTTGCCCAGAGCCAGCAACTCAGAGACCACCCACCCACCCACCACAGACAAACAGACACCCTGTTTCTTTCTCCAAAATTTCAATTCCCAAAAGCTACAGAAAAAGTTCCCCCCACTGGGCCTCTCGAGTCCCCTCAATTACCCTTAGAAGGGAGAATCTGATAATCTTAGGAACAGGGCTGACAGAAATTTGAGGCAGCAGCTGCCATCATCTCAGGAACTATGCCCAAGGCCACATGGCAACTTGCCCTTAAGTTCACTCAACCTGCCTATGGGGACAATGTCTGACATAGGAAAAGGGGATGTTTACTACCTGATATCCATGGCTTTCAAATGAAAGCCAGATTCTCTCCAATCTAA